CTCTAGAAAATAACTTCTACAACTTCACATACGCGGTTTTGCATTTTAAACGACGATATGTACATTCATAGGTGCATATCTAGATGAGAAAGCGTTAAAAGGGAAATGAAATGCACATAAAAATGTGGGTTCACCCTTATAAATATTGTATGTATGTATGTAGTATGTATCTTTGAAAAATAGTTAGAAGCACATTTTTACACTACTCCTCTGCTAAATTTGAAAGGTGAAAATATTCACACGTTCACAAGCATGAAGCTATATAAATGCCACAACGCCGGCGGTAAACAAAATGCAAAGACAAATGCATACTATGCGTGCCTACACGCGAACTTGTCGCGAATGCAGAAAAATTACAATCAACTCGTTAGCGAAGCGACGGAACTCACACACGCATGCGCATTTGTTTTACTATTTTCACCACACAAGGCAAATATATATACAAACAATGCGTAGATGCACAGCAAAGTGTCCTTACATAGTACATGCTATTCATAGCTTCAGATGTGTGTATATGTATGTACATACATAATACAGTATTCCATCCTGGGATCCAGAATCCCGTGATCGCCGGATTACAGCTCCGGAATCCCGAGATTTTTTCTAATTTATTTACAAGTAGAGTTTACTATTTGATGCGAAAATGCGAAAGAAAAACACTAGCGTTTGTTTTGTGGATTTGCTGTGCGTTTGTGCGAAACGGCGTCATAATGCCGATTTTCGCACTTTCGCTCAAACGCACACAGTTTCGCATCAAAGAGTGAACTCTACTACCGAATGAAATGGTTGTTGAAAACAAAAAAAAATTATTCTCGAGCATTTCACATGAAAACGAGAATTATCGAACACTAAAACTGGAATTCGAAGTGCACTTGAGTAAATTGAACTTGGAAGTGAATTTCAGAAAATGCACGAATACCGATGTTCAAACATTTTGTGCAAGAACTGTGTAAAAAACCTGGTAGCAATTGAAAACATTTCTTCATCTTCATTTTACTTTTTTGGTGTGATGTAGTGGAAATTTAATCTCTGCAAAAGAATCGGTTAACGGTGAACGGTGAGCCTACTGTAAAATGCAAAAATTGTGATAAAGTCGAAATCTCAAAAAATTCCGGGATACGATTTTTGTCATACCGAAATCTCGGGATTGTTAAAAATCTTCGGGATTGAATGTCCTAGTATATAGATACAT